TTTTTGGGGGGGGATATAGTATACAATTGGGCCAATAATTGAGATTTTTACTCTTTACACATCGCTAGAGTTTGATATGTTGTCCTGAACCTGATCAGTATTTTATGCTTTGGTTCTGCATAGGATGGTGTGTCAGTGTGGAGCTCCACATAGGAATTGTGCTCATGAGAACTAATGTTCGAGACTTGACATACACCAAAGAGCAAAATAGTAACCCGATGATTTGGAAACAAATAAAAAAAATTGAAAATATTCTAATTTGAGGAGAAATAGTAGTTTTCCTACGAGTTTGAAAAGTCTCTGTTTGCGAACCGAGAGGTTTGCGGCCCGAGCCGAAGGCGAGGGACGTAACGAGGTTCGTAAAGGAGACTTTTTGAACGAGTTCCGGAAAACTGCTTTTTCGCCCGAGGAAGTACCAGCCTCCCAAAACCACCCGAGTGCGGAAAAATTATTTTTTTGTTCTTGTAAAGGGGACATAACTTTTGTAAAAAATGCTAGGAATTTAATCAGAGATTTTCTCCATCCTCAATTTTTTTTTATATACTTTTTTAATTTGACATGATTTCGAGATGATGTTATTTGAAAAAAACCACCAATGTTTAATAGAGAAATAATAAATATTAATTTCTCAGTTTTGTTTTTTAATATTTTTATAAAAGTGAGACGTTAGAGAGAAATTTGTGAAAAGAATTATCTACTCGTGCGGGAAATCGTCTTTTCCGCACTTGTTACGTAAATAACTATTTTTAATTTTTTGGATGAATTTTAAGGACTTTGGTCACATTTTTTTGCTTATCAAGCTCATCTGATAAATTGTTAATAAATAATAATAGTATTTAGTAATAAATAAATTAGCATTGTAATTCAAGATTTTATTTAATCGTACAAACACGTTGAGAATATAACGAAAGAAGGAAATTCAATATGTATTCCTCAGATCACTCTTTGGATCCGGTAGTACTTAAATGTTACGACGCCACTTCCGTCCCACTCCATATGCATGACAATCTTTAAATATCCATCGTTGCTTCCACCACCAAATTAATTGGTTGTCCTTTTACATGGCTACACCTATGTAAAAATCTGTCTCGTCAATTCAAGCGAGTCATATTAATAATCAATAAAATGGCAATAAATTTCGTAGGTGTTACAATTTCAGTAGAATAAGCCGGTTATGGTCGGACATGCGACCACCCGTCAACTTTGAACTCTATTGCCTCGTAAGAAGCCCTTGGTTCTTTTTTAACCTATTTATTTTTATAAGCTCATCATTTTGTCACGATTAACAATAAATCTCAGGGTACAACATTGAATGTACTACTTCATCTCTTACATTACGAAAAATTTCCATAATGTTACGAAATCGGATTCAGTAGTACGAAATTTTTTTTTCGACAAGATGATTTTCTCAACTATGCTGGGGTGCAAAATGTATCAGTTTCATGGCATCTTTGAGAATAATCAAAGAATTCACCTCGACCAGAACACAATGAATCCTTATCTACAGGTAGGAAAAAAAAATAAATAAAATTTAGTCACTCATAGGATTTATTAGACTGTACATTTCATCACACATACCGTGTAGCCCTCGCGTAAGATTGTCATCCAAGAATGCAACTGAAATACTGATAAAGACATGTTTAGGTACCCCCCCCCCCAAAAAAAAAAAAAAAAAAAAAAGGCATGAAGCGAAAAGAAAGAAGGTGCTACTTCCCAACGCGAAACCAAGCATCGCCGGGTACCAAACGAGAGGGGGGGAAACCAAGCAAGGCGCCGAGCAAAAGGGAAGCAGAGGGAGGAAGGGACCGGACGGGAGGAGGAAGTGCAGAGTGCATACCGTACAGTAGAGCGAAGCGGATAGGAGCCGCGGTATATTAACGACCGGGAGGACGACGAAGGCGACGACGCAACGAACGCGCGGCAAACGGCGCGACGACGCGCCTTGTAGTACTTTCACTTCCTTTCCCCTTCGGTCGCATAGACTACTTTTCCTTTCAGGCCCTTCCTCTTTTGCTTTTGCTTCTCTTCTGCCCGGCCGCCTCCTCGCCCCTTCCGACGCCTCTTCTCTTTCTTTCTTTCTTTCTTTCTTTCTTTGCCTTCTTCTTCCTCCTCCTCCTCCTCTTCTTCTTCTTTCTAGCTCTATGTGTGCTCTTTCCCTCTCTTGTGACGCGCACCGACGCCTAGTCCCTGCAAGTCCCTTCGCACCAAGGGCCCATCCTCTTTGTCCTTTTGCCTCCTCTTCCGCGAGTCGCTTGTCCGTCTCTATACATTTGTGTGTTGCAAGCCCCAAGGATATACTTACGGGGATGATTGTGGTACCTAATCCTGTCAAGTTGAACTCTGGTGACTCGTGATTATATACAACTGTGTACTCGGGTCGTGAGGTTTGGTGAGTTTCGGCATGCGAAGATTAGATTTTTTTGTTTGATGGAAATATCATCAACACGATGGATGTTAGTGAGCAAACTCCATTGAGTATGCAAAAGGAGGAGAAGAAAAAAAGGAGAGAGAGAAAGGGATGTCTTTACTTTACCAGCGCGCAATACGTATAGCATTTACACGTACGATACAACCCGTTGATAAGTATACGACCCACGCGGCCTGGGTGTATAGAAAGAAAGGCAAAGCATAAGCTCGGAAGAAAGACGCGTGCATCAGTGCACGGGAAGGTACACGGGAGGGTGAAGGGGCTGGAGGGGAGCAAATAAGCAGAGACTCGCCGTAAAGGAAGAAAACAACGCGCACGGAGGACTATCTCTAGTCGCAAACACGCTCGAGGCGACGAAGCAAAAGGAGAGAAGAAGACACCGGTGGGGAGCAAAAGGAAGAAAAGAAGAGAGCCGCGAGGGAGCGGGAGATGCAGTTGTGCGTTCGCGAGGAAGGCGGAAGGAGGAACCGAAGAGCTCGGCCGCTTGTACGAGAGCGCGCGCTCGAGGGAGAGAAGAGGAGAGCCGAAGGGAACCGGTCCCGGTCACTGGGCCACCAGCCGGCCGTCGAACCCGCCACACACACTTGCCCCCACCCCACCCCTCGCACCCGTACCCACCACCTCCTCTTATTTTCTCATTATTTCTTTCTTTATCTCGGCCTCTGTGTATACTCTTCTTCTTCTTCTTCTTCTTCCTCCTCCTCTTCTTCTTCTCTTCCTCCTTTCATCGCTACTTGCTCGCGCGCGGCTTATCGTCGGAAAGCGAGCAGCCCAGGCTTGTTTATTTTGCACGCGAGAACACGACCGTCACCATCCCCACACTGCATCGCCTATATACATACATACGCCTGGGATCTTTTTCTTCTTTTCCTCATAATATGTGCTCTGCTGCTTTTGCTCTTTATTGTTCTTCTGCTCCTTGTCACTCCTGCTTTGAGTTCCGTTGATTGCCTCCTCCCCTTCGATTCTCCCGAATTTTTCGCTTTTTCGGGAACGCATGTATAGGTGTGCACGTCTCTAGTTTTCGGTGGCATTGTTTCTTCGTGGGGTTGTTGAGGTGTGCTCTCTGTTTCGCATATATCTATAGATGGGATTTTCCATTGTTACTATTTGGTTTTTTATTTTTATGCAAAACATTGTGTTTAAAAAAAAAACCTTGATATTAGAACATACAATACAGTTTAACTTCTTTAGAGCCTCAAATTATGTTTTCTGTACACGTTTTTTTTTCAGTTCAGTACGCTTAGAGTTTGTTTAATGTACGTGAGGTAAATGTTTTTTAATCAACTGTCGTGACAAACAGGAAGTGGATCGTAAATATTTTGTTTTTCGTAGCATTTGGATGTTGACTGCACCCTGGGTAGGAAAAATACAAGAGCAATCCTTACAGTCCCTTCGGCTGCAAAACAGCCCTAGTGGCGATGGCACTTCTTTGATGAAAACTGCCATTATGTCAAGTACGACAGCTACAAATAATGTTACCCTGAAATGTCGAATCAGTAGAGAAATAATAAATATTAATTTCTCAGTTTTGTTTCACCGTTTAAACAAAAGGATAAATTGTTACAGTTTCAGAGTTACAGTATGTTTAACATCTTGTTTNCCCAGCTTTCAGAGCTCTGCAATTAAGTACAATCCATTGTTATTCTAACAAATATATTAACCACATTGGATATCAAGAGATTCGCATTAGTTAACTACAAATAATGTTACCCTGAAATGTCGAATCAGTAGAGAAATAATAAATATTAATTTCTCAGTTTTGTTTCACCGTTTAAACAAAAGGATAAATTGTTACAGTTTCAGAGTTACAGTATGTTTAACATCTTGTTTTCATGATGTTTAATATTGTAAAAAAATGTAATGCCCTGATAAAGGCATTAATTTGTATAGTTTTAAGTATATTTTTCTAAAAGGCCAAAATCAGCTCAAAATAATTGTCATCCACAACGCAGTAAATACTTTCAATACATGTATAATAAGTATAGCAATAGCGAGGATGGTAATAATAGTAATAATAACAAAAACAATTGGCGGATCTCCGTCTACATTATTTCTAAATAAATAAAAAAAAAATTTTAAATCGATTATCCATATTTACTCACAATTATCCAAATTTATACTATAAATATATTAAAAATCCAATCTAAATTTTTGTTACTTCAATTGTATGCAAGCGCCATCCTTCGTTTTACTCCTCAACTTGAGTTCGACGTATTGATTACCCAAAGGATAATAATTTTTCAAAAGTAAATTCAACTCACCAAGTGTAAATATTCACTACAGTTGAAAGTTTTCTTTTATATTTCAATGTGATCTAATTTGTGAATAACAAATTTTTTATCATCTTCAAATTTCAAGCAATAATTTTTTTTCGCAGTTAAAAATAAAAATAAAATCTTGTATTTATTAATATCTAATTTCTAAAAAATTTTTAACTTTGTATTTATAAAAAAGTAACACATAAACTTTTAAACTTTTCCTAATATTGTAAAAACTTACCCCAATTGTTTGCAGTGCTCAATAAAGTATTTAAATTCAATGAAACATCAACTTGTATTTAAAAATCTCATTTTTTTTTTTTTTTATTCCAGTACAATATTACATATTATAGGATACAATAAATATTAAAAGGCCATAATGATATGATACAATGGCGCAGAAAACCCAATTGCAAAATTGTTTTGCCTTAAGAAAAAAAAAAAAAAAAGGAAAAGATAATATTATACAACAAAAATACCAAACAAATAGCTCCATGAGAAAAAAAATAAACATTGTAAAAAAAACAACGTGCCTCATCACTCGGAACCTTTGGTCCTGAGGACTCACAAAATCTCACTTGCCCTCTGGAACGTATCACTCAAACATTTTTTCAAAGAAATGTTTTGCGAGTGCGCATATCGTCACCGCATTGACATTCTTGTTCATGTCCATGGCTGCACTACCGGCAATGTCCAGATGCGTGTACTTGAGCGGCTTCTCCGATGCCACGTCGTGCTGCAATCAAAGATAAATGTTAGTTGTTTTTATTTTAAAACAAGTAAAAAAAAATACATCCCAACACGTACCTTTTTCAGGCCAGAAGCAAGAACAAGGAACGCCCCGGCGGACTGGTGGCCCCGTCCCTCGTCCGAATTCTTTTGAATTTGCAAGACATCGATACCTTCGGCTTCGCCCTTCATGCTCTTCAAATCCTCCTTCCTAATTATAGAAACCTCGAACGGATCGGCCAACGACTCCCCTGACTCCTGCAGTTTGTACGCGTTGTTTGCCGATCTCGCCACCGAATTGTCCATCGCGATCTGAAAAACATTCGTCCCCATTACCATCCACCCGATGGAAGTATAACTCCCCAATCTTGGTTGTAGAAGCAAAGACGTACCGAGTACCCAATACCGGCGGACGCCTGGGCGTGACCAGTCAGCGTGGCAATGGTGAGCAAGTGGGGATTCACTTCTTTCACGGCCAATTCCTTGAAGCGGCAAAGCAGGTCGGCCATGGCAAAACGACCCTCGGCGTCGGTGTTGCCGACCCGAACTCGAGCCCCCGACCTCGCTGTGATCACCTCGTCCACGACGTAGGCGTTCTCACCTACGCTGTTTCGCACGAGAGCCAACCCCACCATGACTTTGGTGCCAGATGGTTTGAGCAAGTTCACCGTCTACAAGGTGTTTGTGTCAGGTGATATATGGTCATCGTTTGAACGAACAAAGCGCCCGAAAAATGGTCAAACCTGCATGAAACCGGCAGCGGAAGCGGCTCCACACTTGTCGCGGCTCATGCTCGTCATTTTGTTGCCCGTCTTGATGTTGAGGCCCCCGGTGTCCATGGTGACGCCTTTGCCGACAAGCATGATGGTCTCTTTGGCGTCGGTGGGTTCGTAGGTCAGGTAAACGACGCGACCGGCGTGACGGGGAATGGTGGAAGCGGCGCGGTCCACCGCAGCGAAAAGTGGGTACTCTTTTTCCAGGGTCGGGCGATCCGATGTCACCTGGACGTCGATGGAGGTGCCCTTGAAGAGCTTCTGGATGTACTCCTCGATTTTCGGGGGTGCCATTCGCTCGGGGTCCGAGCCACCTGTACAGTCGGGGAGTTTGAGATTTTTTTTTTTTTTTTTTACAATTTGTTGCTTCCAGATGCCGGTGGGTGTACTCACCGATGTCGCGGGCGACGTATCTGCCGCTCTCGAGTGCGGTGGCGAGTTTCACGATGGTCTCGAGCTTTTTGCTGTCGATCGGGCTCCAGATGCCGAGGTACTTGGCTTTGTGGGTACGGTCGTCGCTGATCTCGCGCACCTCCAGGGGCTAGGACACATATTATGACAAAATTAGCCATGAAATTCAACTATTTTGTGCTTTGAATTGTGGGGAGGAAAACTTACCACGTAGAGGGCCTCGAGAGCGCCGAGAAGAGTGACCAGTTCCGTGTGCTTGTAACGCGTGTCGGGCAGGAGTATTAATAATGGAGACTTCATCCCAGCTTTCAGAGCTCTGCAATTAAGTACAATCCATTGTTATTCTAACAAATATATTAACCACATTGGATATCAAGAGATTCGCATTAGTTAACGAATGGAGTAATTCAATTAAATAGTTGATTGCTCAACGTATACAAAAATTAATTTGTTTCGAGAACGATACGGCAGATAAATGCTGTTTTAAAATAGTTATGATTATCCTACGATGGCTTAATGCCATTGCGAAATCTTGACATTCCGTGTACGAGACATTGACAAGTAATCTTAGGAAAAACAAAGTAATTATGTTTTTATATCAAGTTGCTAATTGAAGAGTCCAAAAAATTTTCATTGATTTAAAATTAGCTGTCGTCCAGCGCAATTAGTTATCACAGTATTCACAACGGGCACAACATTGGCAGTGGAGAGATTGTCTTATCATGTGTCAACATACCAATGAATGTTATACAAGTTGTGAAGAGAAAAAAAATATTAGTAATGGTGTAGCCAGCGAATTGCAAAGTAATTGAAAAATAATATTTTGTTACACACAATTACTTTGCCCAACGCTGGTTATGGTACAGAACAAAACAACTGCAGTCACCGTTTCATGCCCTTCATCGCGGCTTCGGTGTACACCCTGACGTCATCGTAGTCGGGGTCCATAGGTCCAGTCGGGCTGTAGACGAATCGCTTGGGGGGTAAATCGATCGGCAAGACGGCACCGTTCTCGAATAGCCCAGAGTCCATCTGAGCATTGGTGGACAGTATGGACTTGAAGGGCTCGGGCTCCTGCTCCCCTGGAGGTGTACCGGAGATCAAGACGATGCCATCGTAATTGCTCGATTCCTTGAGATCCTTAACGATCTTCAGCTCCGTCGGAATGTAGCTGTAATCAAAAGGCAACCTTGTGTACCCTAGAGGAATTTTTTTTATTTTCTCTATATTTTTGTTAAAAAATGTCATACTAAAGAAAAGCACATGCACGAGATACTAAATCGATTAAATGGTAATGTTATTTCTATGGTGTGGACATCATATCGGTATTAGTTGGCTTAGCCAAGCTTATACAAAAGCATCGACACTCCCGCCCACCTCTCCTATGCTCCCTCGCGTGGCTCATGCACAAATCAACGCCGCGAATTATTAACGAGAACAACAGCTGGAAGAGGAAATCCGCAGTGGCGTGCTCTTCGAGATGTACAGTGCTAATTAGCGAGCCGGTACTGTCTGGTTTATGGGGGGGCTCGAACACGTGCAACGCTGCGGGTATTAACATTTAAATTAACAATGAACAATATTTCAGTGCAACATCTGCGTTTGTCTCTTGTGCTCTCTTTCGTTGATTTGTTATCGGATTTAACAAGCGGCGAGAAAGTTTTTCCGAAAATGTATGTAAACAACAGGATAAAAACTTATTATATAATCACTAAACTGAGAGAAAACAATAATAAACATTACTGTGATAAAATGGTAATCTAGTACTATTTGGTAGTCAAGAGACATTTTACTGGTTGGAACAATAACTTTTACTGTTTAAAACATTATGTCGTTTTTTATCGTAATTACCTGCAGTAATTTTTTTTTTTGTTTGAATAAATAAAAAATACTGTCAATAGAATGGTAAAAATTAGGTTGCTAAAAGCAAAAAGTCACTAAATAGCACCAAATTTTTATCCTAGCACAATAATTTTTTTTTTCTCTTAGTATGATGAATGAACTTTAGTGGTTACATTTCTTAAAATCCAACATGTAGAATAGTTTTTTTTATTTTTAAAAAATCTTTGTAATTTTGAAGTAAACGTCAGTAACACTGCTACTTTATAACAATATCGCGATTATAAAGTTGGTATTAATTTGTGATTTTATCAACTCTTGTTAATAAAAATTGCAGCAATTAGTATTATTACCTTGATTCTGAGGAAACAACTAAATTTTTGTTCATTCATGACAAATAGTTATCAAAATTAGTTCCAGATATCATTCTGTTGTCAAAGCATCAAAGTTTGATAAATAACAATACAAAGTAAGGCCAAGATAGAAAGTACATTAATTATTTAAAATAAAATTTTATGTATAACTAGTTTCTAATCTAAATTTCCTTGGTCCGCGCGCCACCCCCCGCAGCCACTTCTTACTGAAAAAAAAAAAAAAAAAAAAAAGAATGTGTATGTATTCCCAATAAGAAGAAATTACTCTAGGTGATAAGAAAGATCTTGTTTCTTGAGAATATTTACTTGGTTCTAGTCTAGCAAACATTTATTTTGGTTCTAAGGAATTGTTTTTTTCCCGGTACTGAAGNGACTTTCGTTGTACAAAGTAAAAAAAAATTGAAAGGTCATAAAATTGAAAAAAAAAATACTCGCTTCAGAGAAATATATTCCCTTATAATTAATTAAAATAATATTACTAAATGATAATCAGTTCAATAAAAATTCATGTATTATCAGTTCTAAAACAATAAATTTCGTTATTTCAAAAAAATGAGACACAATATTTGGCAAAACAAAGAAGAAAACTTGGATAATTACACAGATTGTTCAACAATTAATTTTAGCAAAAAAAAACCTACAAACAAAATAAATAAAAATTAAATCAAGACAAGTACGTAGTGACAGTGGAGTAGCTGTAGTAGCTGTAATAGGTGGCAGCCTTAGATTGACTTCGCAGTGTCGTCCCCGTCCAGCCAATAGAAGTCTGTAATCGCGAGAGCAAAAATGCTCGCGACGACAAGGCGCGAAAGTGCCCCACTCGCGTGACACATTTGCAGCAGCTCTCCAAGTTCCATAATTTCGAGGTGGCTCGTCGCAATGTTAATAGTCCGATCAAACCAGCTGACATGACTTTTTTCGTTCTTTTCAACACTATTTCGTTATCTCCGGCGTTGGGGATCTGTTTTTTTTTTTTTTTTTTTTTTTTTTTTTTTTTTTTTTTTTTTTTCACTCCGTTGTATACTT